CCGTTGTTTGTCCTGCTATCTACCACGTGCATACTGTAGCCCTGATTCAGCCGGCCTTGGCGAGAAATTATGTGTGAGACGATTTTGGGACGGTTTCTCATGGTTCATGCTTTCAGGAACAAGTTTAGCGGGGGGGGTCAACACTATGTTTCTTGCATCGATCCGACCAACTGTCCTATTCCTAACCGAACAGGAGAACCGACTGCTGCTTTCTGCACGGCTTTCGCTGTGAGGACGTTTCGTTTGCAGAAAGATGCGTCCCACGTGCACGGTGTCAAAAACTATAAAGAATAGGCTGTAGAATTTCATAAACATTTTGTGTCATCGTAACGTGCTGCGATTCCACGTCCAAAGATCCGTCGCCCTCATGCCTTCGTTCCGAATATTACGAACCGCAAGGCCAAAGTCCTAGAGGACGCACCACGCTGCGAGAAACGCGTTTAGCTCATGTAACGGAAGCAACGATGGAAAGTGGAAGGTAGGACCCAGCAGGGCCGACTACATGTAGTTACATAGAACATTAAACCTTCATTTCAAGACCGCCAAGGACAAAGGCTGGAGTCCGGCCCAACAGATGAGATTGAGACTCCACCTGGCAACTCTAAATCGATGCTTCTTATCCCCGGGCCCACCGTGGGCCGACACGTCAAGGTGGATTGCGACAACCAAGCGACATAGATCTCTAACTTGTACAACGCCTTTGAAATACGGAGCAGCCCAAAGGACACTTGATTCTTCGCAAATTGGTGCCGGAACAGTCACCAACTACATCCTCCTGTTTGACATTACGTGCCCGGGGTACAACCGAAAAACAACGTTCTACCGGTTCATAGTGGACCAACGTTGGCTCTTGAGTGTGTAGCCACGGGCGGTATCGACAACAACAATCCAACCACGTAGAGGGGCTTGACGGCGAAAAGGCGTTGGTCGGTCTTGAACTGCGAAGCATATCATCTAGAAAAATGAATAAATGGAGGAAATCACAAACTACGTCACAACCGGCAGTGCCCAACTCTCGACAGAAGGAGCCACACAAGAAACTGATTGTTGTGTTCGCAGATATGGCTATGAGAAAGGCAGCAACCTCGTGAGGGGATCGAATACATACCGAGAACTTGGAATCTGTCTACTGTTTCGAACACGTGGTAGCCACCACGGCCCCGAGCTCCTTGCAGCTGCAGCCAGATAGGCAGCCACGAGGAACTGTGTCGTCCTCTTCCATCGCGGGCGACTCGAGGCCGAAGCTCAGGCGGCACTCGTACGTGTCGAAGTCTGGCTCCATCGCCATCGTCAGGCCCAGCGTCTCCTCGAAAAAACGTTCGGTCGGGATCTTGCACATGTTTGTGCACAACCCCTGACCCCGTTGCATGAAAGGCGTGCCACACAAGAGGAATGTTAGATACTTGGGTCTTTGCGCCAAGAGAAACACAGGCCGGGGGCAACTAGCAGGGAAATTTCGACCCATCATGCTATTGAGTTACGTGGAGCCCTAACCCTGACACCCTCGCAACACATTACGACGACAAGCCACCGACTTGCGTGTTTTGGGATCGAGAAAGGTGGGGGCGCGGTGTAGCGGGTGACAACATTTTGAGAAACAGTCTGCTTACGCTTGCTGGCAGCGAAACGCCTCAATGGTCAGGTCCCGAAAAAAGAAGTACTACGGAACCGTGGCTGGACATGAATGTCGACAACAAACAATGGCCCGTACTGTAAAGTCCCACCAGGTGACATGCCATGGCCCGAGCGCAAGCGATGAGTGTTGCGGGTTGGGGGAGCTACGGCGGCTATAAAGCGGGCAAACCAAGAGCGGCATCACCAGTAACACCTCACCTTGCAATTGGTCTCCTCCAAAAATCGACACCTTTCCACGAACACACCGCCGGGGGTGTCATCCTTTCGCGCGTCAAGCTTGTTCGGACCGACGAGAAACTCCAGAAAAAATACGGCCAGGGACGCCATGAAGAAACAAAGAAAATACCACACGGTCGATTAGGGGAAGCCAAAGTAGAGGATGACACCGTGCGGTACTGCCTTTCGTACGTCAAAGAACAGCAGGAAGTCATTCGAGGAAAACATTATGCTACAGCACACCGTCAACTCGCTTGTCGATTCAAATTCGTGGATCCGAATACGAAGGAAAAAAGGCATCACACATCCGGACCCAGACATTTCGCAAACAGCCAAATACAGTGATAGGCATCCACTGTACAACAAATGTTCTCAACGAGGCACCCTTTTGCGTACATGTTTGGGAAAGAAACTCCGTCATTGCAACAGCCAAGCACGTACCAAACCAAGCATTCCAAGAGGGGCGCGTAGCGAGTACCTTGAAAAAGGGAGGTGTGAAAAACGCGGTCAGGAAAGGTGCCCACGGCCATGGTGCCATGAACAGCTTGTACACAGGGGGAACAGCGGGGCCGGCGATAGTGGTCAGAACTCGAACGACCATGTCTTGCTGATCTTCCACTGAGGCGCCCTGGCGATTCACCATGCACAATAAGGTACGGGGGCGGGAAGGGATGTGTGAGGGTTCGTGCGGGTAAACTCGTGGGAGACGTCGACAAACCAACAATATGTGCCGCAATAAGCGCTATGCGCAGCATGCCTAGGCGCAAAGGAACTGGAGGGGAGGGGAACGCACACGTGCCTCAACAGGCTGTGCAAAGTAAATCGGGAAACGTATTCGCAAAGCGGCTGCTAGGCGGCAAGGACGGTACGGTCGGGCCAAGAGCCGAAGCTTAAGCAATTCCCTCAAGGGTGTATGGCCACAACAAAAACAAGTGAATGCGCATGCAAGATCCAGGGAAATCTATGCACATACATTGAAGCGACGTCGTTCAATGGGGTCGTCGAATGAAAAAGAGCTACGACTTATCAATCTTTGGACTTTGCCGTCAATGATGACACCGCAAGTCATCAGAACTAAATTCGCTCTCCACGCCATCGCACAAATCGGGTACACCTGCGAGAGCCTCGTGGCGAAAGGTTGACACCGCTTTTCCTCTTTGAAGGCCGCTCGGTTGAACGACAGTCGCGAACTACCCTACTTACTCTTTAGAACAATAACACGACTCCTGTGACTGTGTGTGGCTTGGGCAAGCATTGGCAAAATGTGGGCACCCCGCCGCCAGCCCCCACTACAAGGAAATGTCTTTCAACAAGCCACCTTGACGTCTCCCTCGGGTGGGTGGCCATGCAATGATGGCAACGCGCATATATTGCCAAAACGGGGGCCGAACTCGCCTGTATCACCATGTAGTTTTGGGCTTCGTCGATGAGGCCAGCATAGCCAGGCTCCTCCGACTTGTACCCGATCTCTTTCTGGACGAGAACCCGGAACAGCGCTAGCGCGACCTTCAGCACAAAGGAGGTCCAACAACGAAGCACACAAGCATGGAGGGCAATGGTTTATGTGACTTGGTTTTTAGACCAAATGTCAAGGGTTACATAAGGAGGCACACGCGGTGTGCAAGTTCAATTGGGGCAATGCATGCTTAGTGCTTGCTGTTTGGGGCACTTGGATGCAAGATCCCATCTGGAGAGTATATGTGTGTGGGGGGTATGCTATTGGGGGTCCAAGTGCGGGGCCCATCGAGAGAGAGCACGCACATGTGTTCACTGTACTTATGTCGTGCTGGAAGGGACACTGTGTGTGATAATCAAGGTTTTACTCATCTGCATCGGTCCTGGGCGAACATAGTCCCCAGATCAACTCTTACTACTGTGGGTGGGCACGGTAGCCCCCCCGTGGGAAGGAACGGGGGCCTCTAACACTTGCCCGCACTTTCAAGATAAAAATCGCGAGACCAAGAACTTGAGCAACGCTGGGGTATGTTGAGTGTGTGTTCTGTACTATAGTGGACACCGTTCGTTTATTGTTTAACATAGCAACCGGGATCGCACAGAAGGAAGGCAGCACAGGGACGACGTGGTTTGTCGCTGTCCCTCCTTCCGTCTGCGGCGACTGCCTTCGACAACAACGCGAAAAAGCACCCTTCCCTTGATACTGTGCATTTTTTTTCTTGTCCTCACTTCAAATCAGCGCTCACAGCACTAGTGCCGTTATACTCCAACCCGTGGTCACACAGAAGGGCCCCTCTCTACCGTCCCCTTTTGCGGTACGTTGCCTTCGATTTTTAATGCGAGAAGAGTTCAGCACTCTCTTCCCTCTGTGTACACACGAACTAGCGCTATCCACTAGGCCAGGAGCGGAAGCGAGAGAAACAACTCACTTTGCAAGAAAAGCTCGCTTACGCCGGGATTCGAACCCCTGACCTGACCTCTAGAAGGTTTCGAGGATACCAATTAGACCACCGGGGCGACCGTGCATACTCCTGTAGTCCGTGCACAACAGAAAATCCAAAACATTCCCGGCACAAATGACAACTTTTCTCTGCACACAGGTGGTTGTTCCGACATCTGAAAGTACCGGCAAACGCCCTGTTTCCAGGCGCATGGAGTGACGGAAAGTTTTTCTTTCTTTCTTTTTTCTTGACTTTTTATCGGCACAAAACCGGGAAAACTTGAATTCTTTTTCCAGGGGCGTGTTCTATGCCGATTTACAAAAACTCTACGGATTCGAACGCGTCTCGCAATTTGCCAGGTCGGTTTTTTTTTTTTTTCGAAATTTTGTGAATTGACGGAGATATCGCTCAAAAATCGACAGTAGAGCATCAGTTTGAAATCTTTTTTGGGTGATAACCAACCGACCGATTTCAAAATAAACGGCGGCAATCGATTCCTCTCCTCAGTATCTAGGTCGGTATTACTGGGTTTTGTTGGGAAAAATCTGGTTTCCGAGATATTCCACATTTTGTTGTGCCGTCCCCATGGGAAATGTTTTTTTGGATGGGGCAACACGCACGCGCGCACAACACGCACACGTTGCGGCCCAAACCACGAAACAAGCACGCAAGCACCATGGGGAAGCCTAGGGGACGGGCTAAGAAGAAGAAGTTCGGCAGCCGCAGAGCCAATGGTCAGGCGATTTCGAAGAAGCCGAAGCCGGCATTGCAACATGATTTTCCATCTCCCGGCGCTGATGACGCGCTCTCGGATGGCCACGACGGCGCATTTTTGATGGACGTGGCCGAGAACGCTGCGTCGTGATGTGTGTGTGTTTTTGAGTTCGTGGTAGCTTTGCCGGATTGTTGTGCGCCTTGTGCATGTTTCTGTTTCTTTCATGTTGGCCTTCTACTTTTTTTCAGCACTTACCCCTTACGATTGACTGCCCCCGAGTGTTTGTATAGGTTTATGTACATGTATAGACCCGTCAATGTTCATATTTTGTGCCTTTTAACGCCCAACGGTGTTGTCGATCATGCGTCTGCGTGGTATCTGTACAAATGCTAGCATGTGGTGTCCGTAATGTAGAGGGTGAGGGGGGGCTTCGGGGGTACGGTCGAGGGTTCCGTGAATGCAGAGGGGATGTATGTCGTGTTCAGGGAGTTCCGTGTATGATTGTTGTCAAAATTGTTGCATATCGTCAGAACAAAAAAAACTCTGCAGATATCGACGTATCTCGACGAGGCGGTCACGACCATCGTTGTTTCACGTTTCAATTCTTTTTCAAAAGAAAGTTATCGCACAAAACGTGAATGCACAAATTGTTGTGCACGGACCGTAAATAATATCGCTTTCCACCGCAGATTTGCCATTTCTTCACTCCCGAGAGAGATTCGCACCCACATCTGCAATCAGTAGGTTTACGACGCAACCCACGCTACCATTGGGTCGCTGTGCGGATGAAAACAGCCGAAGACGCCTTGGTGGATATAGTGTCCACAGGGAATCCACAGGGAATCCAGGTATGCGAGGAGAATCCGAATTTGAAGAAAAGACGTGGGGTTGCACCGTTACAAGCAAGCTGTACAAGCGAGCAGCACGAGTTGAAGGGGGTGTACAAGGCGGCCGACTCGTATGCCTGCGTTTGTCTTACCTTGTCAAGCAAGCTCTCGCTGTAGAAATCCGCCGCAAGCGGCGGTCTCAGCTGTGCAACTCCTTCCTGCCAGACCCATCATTTCCGTACGGAAAACGGCGGACAACACCAGGAACAGGAACAGAGACACACCATCACCGACGTTGGTGCACACGTGTGATATTGGGATACAGAAAAAACAGGACGCATCAATCTGAAATATTCTCAGCCCCATGTCTAGTAAGACGTAGAGGGTAGATAACCATGCAAACCCTTTTGACACCAGTATCTTAATGGGTTCGGGCGAGAACGTGCGAGAAGCCATGGTTGTGTGTCCCGCAAAGGTTTCTGTAGAGTTTTCAAATTCGGCACTCTGGGCCTCGGGCATTCTTCAGAACGATCCCGAGGGCATCCAAAATACGAAACAACCCGACAAACGTGGAGCACAGAAAGAGCGTCAACAGCAAAATGAGTCAGGGGACGACCCCCCGCAGAGCCGATGTACTGCAACACGAGCATGCACTGAGTCGTTCGTGTGTTCGGGAAAACCTGCGGTTCAGGGAGGAAAAAACGCTGCCCAACGATGCTAGGTTATCGCAACGCAATCGCCGAGTCCAGCCTCCGCCAGCACGCAAGCACCATGTCGACATTACTTTGTCGGCAGGCACAAAGCGCCTAGAAACAAATTCGGGGAAGCAGCATTAGGCTGAGAAGGAATCACCGCAACGCCTTGATCCAGTCTCGCAAAAGACAGCAATAGCCTGTCACATCGAAAACGAGACGAGCGCTCACCATTCTCGTCGCTGTCTGGGTAAGGCATAGTACTGGACACAACACACGCGAGCCAACAGCAACACAATTCAGCTGCCAAAAACAAGTGGCAAGAAGCTAGATAGAAACACACAACCTCCATACTGGTTGTCGGTATACAACTGCATTCCTGCGGTCGTCGCGTACCTCTATATACAGCAGTAGATACACGAAACAATCAGGCTACAAGAGGTGGCCCTTCGCGGCACGGGCATAAGGGTTGTTGGTAGTGTCTTCACACACAACAAAAACCGTTCCGATCTCTTTACGCAGTACTAGCTGTCCGTACTGATTAAACACTTGACCGGTCGATTGCCGTGGTCACAGGCTGTCTTACCCTACTAAAGGCAGGCTGAACAAAAATGGACCCGAAGGGTCAAACCGTTTGAAATCAACGACATACAATCTGGAGCCCTCCCATCTCCTCTACACGCTATGTGGGGTAAACTTGAAATTGCATCCCTTGGTTCACTCTTGGAAACTCAGAAACAAAAACAGAAGGCCATCCGGGGAAGAGACGAAAATGGCGTGGTCGCCGAAAATTGAGTGTACGTTGTTTAACGCGTTAGACGGCTCCTAGTCACACCGTTCTCCTGGTCATTGAACTGGTTTGGGTAATGTTGCTGCTTTCGACGGTACGCTGCCCAAAACAGCGTCCTACAGGGGGGCATGACAACCCCGGCAACCAAAATCCAAGATGCAACGAGGCCACCAAATCGAAAACGACCTTCCGGCTCAGAAATTGTTGGTGTTTGATGGGAATTTAGCGGAGGACATCATGGTGCGGCGACCTGTGATACTGCACGCCCAGATCTGTTGCTGGGGCCGTGCTCTCGAAGGTTGCTGCTGTGTCCATACGTCTGGGCTCATTCCATTCAATATCCACTGCTGTACGCACCGTGACAGACCCAGACTTCCTGTAGTCGTCGCCTTGGACGTTTAGCAGTTTGTAAGATTGGGTCTGTGGCCGTCCATACTGCAGTGGATCGTGAATGGAATGGGCCTCGATTTGGACCCAGATTTGCTGACATTTTGGGCCTCATCTGCAGCCTTCGACAGCACACCCCCAGCAACAGATCTGGGTGTGCCCACGCGCAGGTCGCTGTTCCATGATGCCATCTACTGATTTCCCGTAATAACCTTAGCCAGTGCTGTTTTGCCGGGATTGGTTTTTCGACCTTCTTGGCACCACCGCCACTAAAGCCCACCACCGTCACGTATGAAGGCACCTCCGAGTAGCTACGGTCCTGACAAGCCCTTCTCGCCGAAGGAACGAAGGGAAATGAGGGCGTGTGGCATTCTGGGTAAGGAAAACAGCGTTGGAAAAGTGCTGACCCAGTAATCAGGCTTTTTTTCCGATGTGGGACTTTTTCCCATATCGTCCCCGGGCAAGCGGTTTGGCGCACTTACACCTGGCGCCACCCTGGATCTACGTGGGCTGTTGAAACAAGACCGCACAGTACTTTCACATCCTACTAGACGTTGTATACCGGTCTTCCGCCATTTTTTCGCAGTCTGTGCTTGTTACCAGTGTCACACGACAGGTTGACTTGGAGGCAGATGTGGTTGAACAGACGGATTTGGAGGACGCATCAGCATCTGACGCTGGGCCGTGCGACTTCAACCAAACGGTGGACACACAAGCTGGTGTCGTTGGCTTTCTGTGGCATCCACGACATTAGGGGTTCGCCCCTCCTGGATGCAGATATCGACAAACATGAAACAAGGATCTGGGCCCGCTTTGCACTCTATTTCCAAGAGGATATTTGCCGGGGGCTCCGCAATCCAACGACATGGAAAGGGTGGTGGTTGAGAAGGAAAAAAAAAAACGGAAACGATAGCGAGACAGAGAGGAGATATGTTTGGGGCCTGGTATCATCAGACGGGGGAGGTCCGGCGACCGTAACAATGAACAACCCTTGCGTGTCGCCCCTGCAGCTGGCACCCTCGGAGTGGCACTTGCGGTTAACGCTCGGTATATTGAGATATCGCCCAACAACAAAGTGCCAATTGAGGTGCGTAGTGTGGCCCTATTGTTTGGTGATGGTTCGCAAGGCGTTCTGAAGTTTGGGAACGCTGGTCCCGGACAGCAATAAACAAAAAAAATCCCGGCAAAACAACACTGTAACATTGCCTAAACGCCCGCCGTGTCGCCTATGTGTCTTGAATTTAGAGGGTGTTTGTTTTTGCTGATTCTACCCGTGGAGAAGGCATCTGGAGGTATGAATAGACTGCGCGAATTGCTGGCAATGACAAGTCCCAACCGCTGCTCTGTGCGGCATCTGCAGTAATTTCTCCTCCGGAACACGTCCCAGCGGGTCTTACGCATCTCGTATGTGATCGCCGGCTGCTGTTTCGGTCGTTTACGAAACCAGTCGATCACAAAATCGCTCGGCCTCACCCGTCGTAAAGAGCCAGTTGTTGTATCGGCGAGTGACGGATGAATCCTACATGCAACTGTACCTCTACAAAGAGCCCTTGGTCGTGGATGGATGCCTGACAACTGGCGGAATTATTTCAGGAATGCAGCAGTGCATGTCAAACACACCTCGTCTGCGTTTTACTGCATGTGTTCCGGGTGCTGCAAGTCCGTGTCAACCATGTGTCAACGAAAAATAGCTGTGCGGGCTGCCAGGTGTACGCGAACGTACTTGGACCTACAATACACCTAACCTCAGCCCCCCGCAAGACAAAGCGGGCACACACACAAACACACCCACGCATTACCTGAGCTATCGCACTAAGGGGTGGAATCCTCGCCGCCCCTACCCTGCCAAGAGCGCCGGCTGTGTCCGTTTCTCCATCAAACCGCGCCTGGTATTCCCGACTTGGTCCAGCGCATGAAGCACTTTGTCCTTGGCGCTGCCCGATGCTTGTTGTGTGTGGACAGGTGGGCAGTATGAAGGACTTTGCCGGCATCAAAAGCGCCAGTGACGCTGATGCCACGAAGGCTGTTGCTCTTAGCCGCATCATGGTGCCCCTACAACGCGCACAAGTTACACACAGCATGCACATCTGCCCACACCGGGACAAAAAATGCGGCGGAATCAGCCCAGCGAGTCGCCTCCGAAAAACACGGAGAACCAAGGAGAGGTGGGAAATGGGAGTTCTCGGTGCTGGGTGCTCAGTCTGTGCTCGCGTGCTTGCGCTTGCCATATCCTAACTATCACCTACCGCTTGCTTCGCCAGGGCCTACCCCTCCACTCTAGTTTCCATATTGGTTCAACGATCCAGCCGGAATTGGCCTATGCAGTCTCTCGGGTCCCTCCATCGCCACCTGCTTCCACTACTCTGTTCCACCCTCTCTCGCCTAGCCCACTACAGTGACGTCACGGCACTGTGGCTGTAGACATGAAACGTTAGCGACCATTTTATTGCGACCGTTCGCCTCTACTGCTGTACTGCTGTAAAGTAACCTCCCCGGCACGTGCACTGAGGAACCCATGGGGAAAACGGCACGAACCTCCCTGCTGTGGCGGCCGTTGAAGCCAGGCTGCTTGCTGATGGGGCTGAAGGAGTGACAAGTGGGTTCCGTGCTACAGCAGTGCAGATACGCATTCCAGCGTCGTTGGAAATGTCGTCGTTTGAATACAGCGATAGACTATGTATTGTGTTGTGTGTAAGAATTTCTACGCCCTAAGAGCAGGACTGCCTAACCCTACCTAGTGTACGGGTTGCGCGCCGGCAGGGAATACCCGTACACGCACTGCTGCCCGAGCTATGATGACAGGGACAGCACGGGTACTTGGTTACCGTGGGGCCACTGCGTTGTTGTTTACCTGTGGATGGACGGCAAGGCGGGCGGCGGCTCAATGCACGTGAGCAACACAGGTTAAATGTGACACGCATACATGCGCTGCTATTCAGTCTGCTAAGAGTAGGACTGCCTAACCCGATGGTAGTCTTCGAACGGAATCACGTTCCCTCCGTCCTTTCTGTGCCCACATTCTCCGTTGCGTCGATCACCTGAATAGGTTCTCCAACGCAACTTCTTCGGTCTTGACAGGAGGCAACACTCCAAATGACAGGCTTGCTATCACACCGGATGGCCTTTCGGTACGAACGCGTAAGGGGAGGAAACCTCCGTCGATGCACAAGAACAGCGAGAGAGAGACGCAGATATCATCTATTTTTATCCCCGGCATGTCTACCCAATCAGAAGGGACCACCAAACCGTCAGACACGTGTGCAGAAATATCGTTCGTGTTGAAACCCATTCGTTCGTTCTAAAAAAAAAAAACACCTTGATGTCAAGTATAGTTGTGGGCCGCGAGGTTCTCAATATAGTGTAGGTTGCCTGGATGAACAGAGGCAACATCTAAGCAACAACCCGGTAACGTCAACTCCTTACCGCTATCTTCTCGGTGTCATTCGGGAAACGGTATCACCTTTGCAATATCACCTCGAATACAGAGACAAGGCCATTTCAGGCTGCATGTTCCCCCCACCCGTCATCACTGCAGCTGATATCAACGGCAATCGATGAAGGGCCTGATCCGGTCTACATTTTCAGAAGCTTCGACGTCAACCCCAACGGCCAGCTCACTCTCGTCAGCGAATACACCTACGAATCGCAAGACGCTTCCTTGTATGCGTCTGCTGTCACAACGAGCCTCGATGGAACCAACATATACATCGTTTTGCCAGTCCTGTCGGTGAGTACTGTCCGCTGACCTGGGGGTACTGTTAGCCTCGAAGTCATTGACTCTTTTCCCCCACCTGCGCCAGGAAAAATCTGACTAGATGTCGCTGTTGCTGGCCTCGAGTAGCCAGGGTTGTTGACTCCCTTCACAACCCATCCAGGCTACATGAATGATCGTTTATCAACTTGCTGCGAGATTTGCGCTGAACTGGCGAATCAGGCAGGAGTGGGCAGTAAAGACTTGAGAGCCGACACAGGAAATTTAGGTTTCTGGCGAATACCCAACCATCGATATCGATCTAGTATGTACCAACCCATGCTGTTGGGGAGTTAGAGACTGACGTTCCCCCCGACTGTGCAGGCTTTCCCCCCCTCAAGCTCATGAAGATCTCCAAGACTATCGCATCCTCCCCCCCGTCGTTTTGGTTGCCGTCCGAATCCGACGCGACCGCATAATGCGGCCGGCGCAATGAACGTTTCAACGGGAATCATCATGACCGGGGTGTGTTGGCCGTTGCCCCGCACTGCTTCCGCTCCAAGAAAATATATTCGTTCGAAACAGTGGATATCTCCAGGTCAGTAGCTTGGGCATATCTGGGTACATCGGTAGAACGTTTCACGTCGGAGAGTCGATTCGCCCCCCAAACGTTCTTGATGATGTCCTTCGCACGTGTACATGACGTTTGAAGTACTTGCGTCGTTTCATGGTTGGAGAAGTTTGCGCAACGCACATTGCGCATAGCTTTTGAGCCGTGGTACTTGAAGCAGGAAATTATATTGAGGCCAAACCTGTCATTATCGTACGCACAGGGGGGAGGGTTCTCTTGCTAGCATGCACGGTGCGTGCACTCACCAACCATCGAGATTGTAGAACTCACGAAGCTCACACGCGACACCAGAAAAAACAATACCCATATTATTGACAATGACTCATCGATCGTACACATCCCTAGGCCTTCAAATGCCTTGTTTCTGAATCGACAGTGGATATCGTTCCGTGCGGTCATTTCTGGAGGTGCTCTTCCAGTATTGTCACTGCAACAACATCAGCGAGGCCAACTACAACACCACTGCACACAGCACAAACAAACACTAACCGCCCGTTTGTTCTCGTTCTTCGTCTAGTCCTATCAACGAAGACGACATAGGTTCAAGTACCAACTTTCTCTACCTGGGCATGACATCCAGCGATACTCTGCTTGTGAGTGGCGCGGAATGAGTATGCAGCGGCCCTATGCTGACGGACTTTCTCCCACCGATGCATGCGTGAACGGTCGTCCGGGGTGTTGCAGCCGTCGCAGGACACGGTTGACCATTGCCTATCTTACCCATGCAGCGCACAAACAGTTAACCCGTGTGTAAGGCAGGCTATGCGACCACATTTGTTTCGTTTTGATGTGCTTCTTGCGAAACGAGGGCACTTCTAGCAGTAGTCCAGCCACTGGACATAAAAGTATGCAACGTGTTGAAGTTGATTGTTATCCGTGACACTCCAGGTTGCCGTGGATGAGGGCGACATTTACCGGTTCGAGCGCAAGAACAACGGGCATCTGCAATATTTTGATCAAGTATCCAACGCTGCCATTACCGCCGCCAATGCCGATCCAACAGGGGACTACGTGGTATAGTATTGCATGACTGCTGCGTTATGTTTTGTCGCACTTCCAGATAAAAATCCTGTTCTTCCTGCTCGTGGACTGGCATTCGTGGTAGTTCGATATCCTACCCTACCGTACACTGGATCTTTGGATGTCTGGAAGGTGAAACCGAGCTCAGCGAAACGATGCATGCCCTACCCCTACAAGCAGCTGGCTATGTTGCGTTGATCGTATCCTGGTCATGCGCTCGCCGACGCAGGTACTCGTGTCGTCGTACTTGGTCGTGAAGGTGTTCAACGTCGGCGCCAGCGTGGGTCAAGATGAACTGACCGGGTCCATACAATCGATCACGAAGATCCCGAGCAAGATACTTAGGCCTTCGTACATCGCTGTGTCGCCGACCTCGGTAGGGGTGAGGTTGCAAGCATGGGCTCCTCCGTTTGACATTCAGGCAGCGGTTGGGGCGGTGTCGCCGTGTTCTCACCGGCTTTCGCTCGGATTAGTTCCGTTCGTCACCAGCTGACCATCGGTAGAATGGCTTAACCCGCAATCTTGCTTGGCACGTTTTCATGGAGTTGATCTATCTTCTCGTCACCTCCACTGCCTGTTCCTTTGTTGTCCCGACCACCACCCTGTTCACCCACCCAGGTCTATATAGAGGGGTTGAGCGGTAACGTCGTGATGTTGGACAGCTCCAATAACGGCGGCACGCTACTGCTCGGGAATTCTTTCAGCGACGAGGTTGAGCCTGCGGACTACACGTCAGTCGCCATCAGCCCCAACGGCACGGTGAGAAGGAACCTACCTGTTTGGATCCCCCTTCTTCTCCTTGGGTAAGGTTCTGTTGTCTTTATTCGTTCCCTTATCAAAGAAGGGGAGAGGGGGCGGCAAATGCCGCGAGGAGTTCATGGGGTAGACCCTAGCCTCGGGATACCCTTGCTCTGCAGCGTAAATGAACCGATCGAGCCGCTTCGCGTTGATTTTTTTCTACACGGTTGTAGGGGTTGGTTGGGATGTCATGAGGGCAGCCCGCGAAAGGGTGGTGGCCACAGACAGGGTCATCGAAGGGTTGATGGGTAGTCGCGGGGCGGCCGGTCGGGCAGATCGACCTTGTATACCTTGAATATATCGGTCGTCAAGCTGCCTAAACTACTCTTTTTCAGTGTATCTTCAAATGATCTATGAGCATGATCTATGATACGGCTTGAAAAACCATACCTCCTCCCTCAATGTGAGCCCTGCCGACTCACAAATAGAGCTCCTGTGTGTTTTCCCACAAGCACACAAGCACACCAACACGCATCTACCTTTGCATCAGTGGCTACGTATGTTCGGGCGAGGGTACGTGTGGTATTGTGTAGGACGCGTGTATGTTGCTGCTGGGTAGTTGGCTGCTGACATGATGACTGCTGGATCTTGGGAATGTACGATTACATATTTGCATTTTTGAGATGCAGCATACCACGACATGCTGGCTTTTGGCTGGGCTTGAAATACCTCTTTTCATGCCCTCCGCTCTTTGCATCAGTGTCGTCCTAGATTCGGGCAAGGTCATTTAAACGCGGAGCTATGATGTTTGGCGCATTGAAAGGGTATGTACAGAGATTCATTGTGGCTTTCGCCTTTGGCGCATCGTGCATTTTTCGAATTTTGGTACGCTTCCGGGGACCTTGCTTTTGCCCGCTGGAACTTACGTCTTGTCGTCGGTGACCGGATAACCCGAGCGATGCCTGCATCAGCATCTGCCAACCCCTGACGTGGAGGGATACGTATACTGTACAGGTCGGCAACTCCACGGCTTGCCACCACACCAGCATCCCACATGATCTATCAATGATCAGTCAGTACGCCTGAAGTCTGGTGTCTGTGTACTCCTTGTTGGATGCCTCTCTGCTAATCTTCTGCGCAGATCTTTTACGGGCTTAACCAAGCCACTGGGGATCTGTTCCAGCACGCTAGGACTCCGGATGGTGACCTGTGAGAGGCAAAATTTGCATCCAGCACGTCTGACATTTGTGTAGGGATTTGTTGTCGAGCACTGCGGCACCCCCAACACCAGCACGTTTCTCCTGACTGTACCTCGTTCCCGATGATGACTATCATGCAGTGGGTCGGTGATATGCAGCGTCGCCACAGGCGAACCGGACGCGTATAACAGGTTGCTGCCGTCACCGGATGGAAACCACATTTTCGTGAGTGACGCATGAAATATTTTCGACGCATCATTTTCGAGTGTTGTAGGAATCGTCGAAAAGGCTTCCCTAGCTCACGACATGACAGAACGAAACGTTTTACGGCATGACAGTAGTGAAACCGGGAAGCAACATATCCAACGACTGCAGGAATCCCACAAACGTACAGTAGGAGCAGGTGTTGGAGCTACCTACCCTCACAGGTCACCATCCAGTTCTTACATGTGGAGTGTTTCTTGTTCCAGTTCTGCACAACGCGTGTTCTGATGCCTCGTCACTCTTCTCTAGCAGTCAAGGTCCCATTTTTTCCATCCGAAGCCCGTCTTGGCAAAGTATGCGTGTAACCCGTCGTCCGTTGTAATCGATGGGTTGTTAGTCGATGTCCTGAAGCGCCGCCGATGTTTGGTACTCTTGAAGTTGGTATTTTTTCTGCCGGCCCACCAATTTTGAATCGCTCATGTCTCATGCCTTCCATGTCCTATCAGGTGGCTGATGGAGAACGGCTGCTCACGTTCGAAGTTGGTGACCAGGTATACTCAAGATAACATGAAAACGAAAGGTCTCGATTGATTTGAGCCAACCTCAGTCATTGGCCACGGTCTCGCCTTGGAGTGCCCACGGTACGATCAATTCCACCCCCCAAGCACCGACGGCACCCGTACTTAGTCAGCGTGACAAGCAGCTGGCAGGCACGCACATCCTCTTGTTCCGATTACGAATTGGTAAACTGTTGGAAGACTAACTAACCTCATCAACGTCCGGTGCCGGGTTTCGCAATTATCTGTTGTTACCCGACCACAAATCAATCTCCAATGGACATCCTCGCTGTGTCAGACACCGAGCCCGACATCGCTCCCGACGACACTTATTCCTTCACCGTCGCCCACTGAGAGCCCCACGTCGGCACCCGTCGGTAAGTTGGTTTCGGTCTCGTAGAGGCATTCTCTGCACGTGACTATATTGCTCAAACCTGCCCCCATGCGGTGTGCTGTGTGCCTATCTGTGAAGGTATCAGCGCTTGTTCCACCTTATAGGCAGAGCCAGGCTTTGCAGGCTCGACTGTAGATACCTGCAGCTGAGAGCGTTTTTCGCGGTTCGCCTTTTGGTTTTAGTGTTTCGTGCATTCCGAAATCGTCGTCATGCGCTCGGTTTTCATTGAGGGTTCGATATTGGTTTGCTACACGATTTTGCGGCTCGTCGCTAATATCAACCGATTTGATAGTTGAAGATTCGTTTTCGAGCCGTCGGCGCGTCGATGTTGTATTATTCTTTCGGCCACCAACGAACAACTCGAGTGACTGGCGCAGTTTCCGCCCGGAAACGCTCTTCCTAGGAGATTGTCGAACGCAGGAACACCACCGCCGAGACATGAGATGAACACACTCGCAACGGAACGGTTAGCTTGCTATCTCGATAACGTCATGCGAGATTTCAAACAGGGCACGATTGGTGTCGCTGAGACTAAAAGGTAAACATTTTGTGGAAGTCGTTTCAGGGAGAGTCGTCGAATGGGCGGGCAGAATTGCTCAAATACCTCAAATAACAACGAACGCAGGGTTTAACAGCAGGCTAGGGACAAGATAGAAAGACGGATAACAACTTCGAGTGAACCATGGGAATGCCCGTCTAAAAGCCGTGTCGAGTGCTGTCCTCGAAAAAGGCGCTCCACGACTTGGGATTCCTAAATCTATCGCATGTTTCAGGATAACCCTTAAGAGGTTCTGGCGGACGGACCACTACTTGCGCCGTGTTGCTCAATTTGTTATCATGAAGGCACTCCAAGACCTACACCTGGACCAACTCCGGCCCCTTCCACGAGACCCCCCACATTAGCGCCGGCGCCAACGCCTGGTGAAGGCACTTCAACACCTACACCTGGACCAACGTTGGCTCCGACGACATCAGCGCCGTTGCCCACGAGTGGCCCAGCCGTGGCTGTTCTGCTTCCTGCGCCAAACCTCGAGTCTGCCGTGCTCTCTGACACGCAAAGGACGTTCTCCCTGCAGTTCAGCAGTAGATGCTTTTGTACTGAGGTCGGCTGGAGTGGTGCGAATGTGGCACTCTGCGGCTACGACATCGTTTCGGGGGAGTATGACAAAGGGTGAGAGGATTCAATAACTTCGTTGCCATTTTGTCCACTGTTTCCATTTGCGGTTCTCGCTTCTTGTTTCGGAGAGCTGTGCTGGGTACCTTTCAGTGCGAAATAGAGCCCGTGAGTCGTAACCGATACTGACAAGCGTACTGCTGGAAATAGTTATTCCTTTTGTGAGCGTACCTTTAGGACTGCTACTGGACAATGCATGTCTTTGTTTCCGTATTGGCATCCGTGGGGATCTTACGGCACCTGATGTGGTGTTCGATCGATCTCTGGTAGTTCTCGTTTGGACAGATTCGACAATCAGGAGCACATCTTGATCATGTGCCGAAACTGGCGTGTGAGCGATTACCAGAACGCAAACGCATTATTTCGTCATTTACTTCCTCGTTCTGGTGCATAATCTGGATGCGTGGTAGGTGTGACGTCGAGAAAGTGCTCGACGAGGACACTCGAACGACATTCGGAAACCAGTCAACGTGCGATTGGTCGGAAGACAGCTTGACGGCACTCATAACCTTCGATGAAGCGTATGCCGGCTCATGGGATGCCGGAGTCAACATCACTTTAGCCGGCGGGTGAGGTTAAAGGTCTTGGAATGCATCCTTTGATTTTTCACAGCGAAGGTTCACATGGTTACGGGTAAGACGAGCCTCGACTCCGATGCCCTCGTTCGAGACGTTTGGTGATATTCTGACCAAACTTAACCACCATGTTTCCTGTATGCGAAACGTTTGGCATTCATCGCGCCCACCCCACCCCACCCCACCCCACCTCATGCGCTACGGAGGCGGTCATTGTTACTCATAGACGACGGGTGGGCCCACATTCCTCTTGTATTATTAGGCACATGGGCTTAATGTTGCCACACTCGCCTCATGTGTTTCCATGCGCTTGTTCACCCCGCCGCTCTCGGTGGAGCGAAGGCGATGCCAATGAATAGTGTACGTGCACATGTGCCACGACCCAGATGCCACATGAAGGTCCCTCCGAACGTTTTACCTCGGTTCAGGTACATTCTTGGAGGGATCCCGTCGGTGTCGGACGGCGTCATCGAGTATGCCACAGGAACGGTATCTCTCGAAGCCCGTACCGCCCCGCCCGAGCTGCTCCAGGTAGCACGTGTTTCACACATTGTCTGGTTCATGTCTCTGCAGAGAACCACGCGTCCTTTATTGAAGTATCTCGTAAGCATTAGCCGACCCCGAATTCCTCTAGCCTACCATATTTCAACACTGGCGGTCTGTGCGATATGTACTTCATGCTAGACCGCGACCTGTACTTGTGAAACGCAAGCAGGCCATGTTTTCAAACGACGGGGAATCGATCATCGTCGCGTTTTCACCCGAGAGCTCAGCAAGTAGCGGGCTGCTGAACGCCACCGACACCGCATCAGGAAGCGGCCCGGGGTCGTGCAAAGCGCTGCTCAATGCATCCTCGATTGCCACCATCGGCGAAGGGGCAGCATGTGAGTATGTTACATTCTGTACAACGTTGCAAATGAAGGGTGTACCAAGCGTAACTCAATCACGTTGACGAGCGCAGAACCGTCCATTTTCCCGCTCGGGTGGATACTATTGTTCACGGTTTGCGTTGCAAGTAGCACTCCGTGCTCGGTTAGTCACTCCAGGGCGGCCTCGTGCAAGCGCTAAACGCTCATACCTGTCGCGCATTATGCAGGATGGGATGTGTTTTTGGTGAGGTGTGTCTCATCAGTTTCAGCATCAGCGACGGAAACCTCTCCTTTGGTTGTGTCCGAAACATTTATGTCCTCATTTTTCATCCAGGCGAATGGACGGGGGAGCGAGAGTTGACCATAGCCATCGGCTACGATGCAATAGTCAAACCGGACACGGGCTCCGGAGTGTCATGCCTGAGCCAGGCTTCCTGCATAAGCCTTCTCGACGGTGGCGTCCGCACGGAGGCACTAGCTGTTCTCTCCTCCGAGGGCTCCACACCAGTGTTGGTCCCTGAGAACCCTCCTGCGGTATCGGCGGTCCTGGTAGCCCCTCAGGTATAGCCGTCAGACGTTTGGCCTGGCACCATTGTGTATGGAACAATGCCCACCCGAGGACGTGGATTTAGGAGTATACGCATGTCATGCAACATGATGATTTTGGTCTTGAAGCATGAAAAGTGAACGAGGTACTAATTGTCAGCACTATGCATATATATATTGACAGTGTCGCGATAGTGGCGTAAGCACTCACATGCTTTTGAAAACTGTGCTGGCAAGAAACAACGTGCGGCTTCCAAAGCGAGTTGTAGTTGCCTTTCCGAGGGTTGGAACGACTCTTCGAAAGAGCTTGTCGGTTGTCACACAGGTTGAAGTACACCGAGTCGTGCTCTCCTGACAGCTTGAGGGAAGGACCCCGCTGTGTCAGAAAGAAACCGCTTAACCACACGCATACCCACGAGGGGGCCTCGTGCATGAAAGCCAGTGACACAGATGTCGAAACTCCGTTCCCAACCCTCAACGCCCGCTGTCGTCCCCATTCTTTCCACAAATGTAATGACCGATTCTGCTGGGTGCACCAAGACCGTGGGGTTATGCGGCACGCTCACGCTAGACGGACGGGCGTCCTCAGGGGCACTTTCGCGGACGATGTCGGCGTCCTGGAACGTTTCGGCCGCGTCTGTCGCCAACACGAGTAGCATTGAGGCTGCTCTCGCGTTGTTTGAAGGATCTCTGGTCGCAGAACTCGACGCAGCTGCGTTAGAGCCCGGGGTGAAGTTCATGTTTGCCCTGACCGTGGGGAACTTCCTTGGCGACACGAACGGAGTAACTGTCGCCGTCACGAGAATGTGAGATGTGTATCTGAGATGTGATTCTATTTTCGACTTTGCAGTATGGGCTGTTCCGGAATGTGGTACCCTGGTACCAGGTATCCTGGAAGGAGTTCTTGAGCGATTGCCTCCAGAACGCCTTCGTGGGAGACGGGTGTGCTCCAACACCAGAGTCATGTCGACTACAGACCACACTTCCGCGTTTCCATGAGATGAAAACAGCGGTGCTTTGGAGAATTCCGTGGAAAAGTCGACGACTCACCCGAACGAACCAGCTTCACCTTCGGGAGATTATCGGCCACGATACTGTTACTTTTCGCGTGACTCCTAGACAATACGAGGCAAATGACAGCCACGTGCTCTTTAACAGTTTTCCAACCCTTGCATGTTGTTGCGTTTGCAAACCTGCTCTGTAGAGCCGAGGACATACCGTCGGTTGCAGTTCTTGGATCAGCAACACGAGTTGTGAAGAGGAGCCGGCCAACCTCCCTGAGGATCACAGCAACATCACCGGCGTGCGGTAAGCTCGAAATTAGTTGCCCGGCACCCCGCGTCCCACTAAACACTCTACTCGACTGTACACGCTGTCAGCGCCCACACTGAAATTGAGGAAGAGCGCCATTCGGCGTAAATTGCGAGACGCCCTCCTTGACCGCTATTAGCCTCCTACTGTTGCCCGAGAAAGGGCGTCTCTGCATCACTTCCGCCATTTTCGTGGACTCGCCCGCAAACCCACTATGTCCAGGCGAAAGGCAGCAGCTCAATCATTCGTGGTCCGAAGTTGGTGGAGCTGGATACGACGAAATCGGTACTGAAGTGTTTCAGGTGATGGAAGAAAAAAATAGTGGGCGTTCTTCCTTCCAGCAACCACAACGGCAGAGCAAAAAAATAGCATACCCACTGTTGATGGAGTCGAGACTAGTTGATTTACTCTGTTTGATCAAATGAGTTGAGGATCATGCCGTGGCAATGCCGTGGGTTGCATGCCACGGTGACACGCGCTTTTCACGCGGATGGAGGCTTGTGCTACGAGAGGCACCTACAACGATCTGAACTCATCCAGGATTCATGGTCAACAATGCCGCCACCGTGTCGAGGCACCAAACGGATTTTAGGTTGTTCCCGCCTTTCTGGTTCCAACCCAAAGAACTCTGCATGTCTGTGGCTACGCACTCATCGTGTTCGCCTCGTGAACATGGGAGGAGACATGCAAGACAAACGACAAGCGGGTTCATCCTCACGCCATCGCTTCACGTTCCAATGAATCACGAATGACGGCCCGCTCGTCCTGGAATCATCCGACTGACGGTTGCTGACATCAGGACGCTGAACATGCTGAAAACAAAGATTCTACGGTAGCTGAGGCACAGCCACCGCATGTTCATGAACGCCGACAATACCGCTGTCCAGAGCAGGCGAAGGAGGCTCACTCGGCATACGTTTTGTGCTATGCGAAGCGCAAGCGAAATACGTTAACGGTAGTATACAACCTGCGCTAGGCCAGAGCGGTGGGAATCGTGGCACGTGTTTGTTTTCTCGTGCTGCTTCACTCTGGTTGATTCCTCACACTGAGAAAAAAACAGACTCTAGATGATTGCTTCTAGGGCAAGCAGGCTGTCCCACACCCCACCTCCTTTTTGGATGGTTGGCGAGGGGTAACCTCTTCGACAATTTGTCCTTTTCCGCTTCACGCAAACTCGAAGGGCTTAGCGCAGCGCGATCCTACGGCCATTACGTTTCCTGCGTACACCCTGGGCTATCCGGGGTCCAGCTACCTCTTTGCCGCAACTGCGACTTCGCAGCTGTCCGAAGCGAGCGCCTCAATGACCGTGGAGGTGCGTTAAACTCTGTGCGAAGTTCACAAGTGCCAGATATATTGTACATCACTTGCTTCTAAGTTGAGGTACGTCTTCCTGGTATGTTCTACAAATCGAATTATTGTTCCTTGCCCCTCCACATACCTGCACAGGAAATGGTTTACGCAATCACAGCTGTATTTCCTAGAAAACTGTGCCGTAATACCACGCTAAGCTGCCCGTTCCCATTCGCCTGACAGGTTTCTGTTGAACAAGGGGTTCTGCGGGCCAACATCCAAGGGGGCGAATTCCGCCAACATTCTGCAGGTGGATAGGGATTGCGTTGGTCTCTATTAGGGTGTCTGGTTCCGAACGGTCGTGTCGAAAGGAAAAAACTCTTGGTTTTGAGGCCTGAGATCCTCGCCAGCCCCAATGAGTACAGCAGGGGCAAAGGCGATTATAACGGCGACAAAAAATAATATCAGCGGCACAGAGAATGACCATCCTATTGAATAGGATCCCTGGTGCCATTTTCGGCACGTTTCGTCCCGGCCATATTCGGCCACTCTCATGTAAAATAGTGACCCTGTGGCCATCCTAAGAGAACAGGTAGGTCTGTGCGTCAAGTGTAATACTTCCAAGAAGCAATAGTGTGCGTGAGTAGACCTGGCTTCCGCAAATGCCATGCATGGGCGATATTACACCATGTATCCTCAAGGCCCAACACTCCAATACCATCCGCAGGCAACGACCTTGTGCTGGACGGGAGCGACTCGGTGGACGACGACGACATCACGGAACTAGACATGCGGTGTGTTCAGTGTACATTCCTGCTCCCGTGTCACAGACCCATAGGGGACATGTGGATTGCAACAGCGTTGGAATAATCTATGAACGCCCCATCTTTGACCGTACACCGTGGATGACTTAGCCCTATCTGCTTTAGATGCGCTGGTCGAGGCCTGTCGCATTGATCTAACTACTCGACGTCCGGGGCGGCGGTATAGCCTCCCGACACATAGACGAACACAATATACTAGCACCGTTTGGGTGGTTGCCCTAGTTGCCTGATGTGCCCGGCGCGCAATTGACAGCAAGCCTGTTGCCCTGGTGGCCAGTTCAGAAGGTATGGGCGAATTCAAGCCGTGGACACACATTGTTCGCAGGGCTAATTCAACGTACCCATACGTGAATCGAGCGTAGCTTCGACGTACGACGTCCCGGGTGATGATGCACACTTTTCAGGTACGAGTGGTGGTGTTCACAGAACTGCACGTCACAAGATGACTGGACTGCGGACGCAGACGGATCCGTACTGGTCATCCCTTCCGAGGAGTTGGAGTCAGGGCTGGTAAGAACCTCCCGACTGCGTAAGTTTCAGAACGCCTCCTCGGTGTCGAGCTACACGCAAGCTGGTGGCCAGGGCAGGTTGTGGGTAGGTTGAGGAACCTACTAAAGGTTGGGGGGGGGGTTGCAGGAAGGTTGCAGCCCAAAGTGTTCAAGTTATCCCGCATCTCGGATAGTGGCGTTATTCCGACGAACACGGCGGGCTGCAAGCTACAAGCCTAAGATTGAAATGGATTCAAGGACGAACTCTGCCTCCCGACCTCCTCCCCCTAGGCTATAGTTGGTGCCCAACCTGGCCACCCAGTGTAGCCCTGGCAACTTCAATCTTCGCCGCGAGTACTTTCGGCGCCGTTCGCGGGAAAAAATCGCTGTCGTCTCCCTTATGTTTCGTGTCAGAAGATCCATTTTATTCCAGCTTGTGACTTGATTCTTGGTTGATGCATATTGACATCCCGCAAGCTGCTGCAAACCAAATCCACAAGCTACCGTGGCGCACATCTCCGCATGAATCTAGAAGATGACGACCGCTGTCTACCATCGATATTTATTCTGCCGGGCGTGCCTATAACATTTTTGCTCACGTGAATTTACGTATCCTGCCGAGAGACTGTTGATTGACTTTGATCTCGGAATCAATCACGCCAGCCGAGCCGATCCCGTTCAAAACCTGTGTCACGGCAGATCTACGAGTTCTTCCTCAACGTCAGCAAGGGCAGCGCCGATTCTTCCGACTTATACAGTCAGCTCCGCTGGGATACGGTCAGCGTCAAAGTGCAGGTGAGGGCGAGCAACAGAGTCTTCTTTGTTCACGTAAGGAATCATGAAGCCAAGTGCGGATGTGAACCTACCTGTTTGTGGCGCATCGCAAGCATTCCCGTTAGCACCTACAGCTTGATGTTGGCCTTTTAGGGCCAATGACGTTGCCGGGCCGTCATAGAAGTATTGGCCGTCGAGGAAACCTAGTATTCGCGGGCTTCTTGTAGCTGAATTGTTTCTGTTTCTTCAGATTCAAGATCGTTCTGACCTGGGATCCAGTACCCCTTCTTCCCTACTCCTCAAGCCAAACAACCCAAGTTCCACGAGCATACACGGTGGAGTTTGCTTACTTGTTGCCTGCTTCAATTCAACATGCTGCACGCTCCCCCATCGAAACTTCGTCGTACTGTTTCCTCGAAACTCGAACTTGCCTTCGGAAGTAAAAACGATCATCCGTGGAAATAACCTGCGCGTTCCTTTCGACTTATCCGCGACAAGGTTGTGTCCTTCGAGGCTCCCGAGGTGGTTTTGATCTCCAAGGACGACAGCCTGAAGCAAGACCCTACCAAAAAAGTGGTCATCTATGGATCTGTCTCGGAACAGTCATCGTCGTACGATCTCCTGTGGACCCAGGTAGATAGAACACAAGGGCGGGCTTTAGCGAGGGTGCTGCAAGGATAAACAACAATAGTGAGGTTTCTCGATACGTGAACTTAGCGAACAGAGGACGGACACTGCGCCGCTATATTTTTGTGGCGGCAGCTCCAATGCCCATCCCCAGTCATCGAAAGACCACACACAGTCGGAGCTGAGGCTTCTGTTGTGGAGCCCCTTGCTACCGACGACGATCGTACCTGAGGTCGAGAAGCACCCTTTTCGACCGCAAGAAAAAAATACGCGATGTTATTGTGGCTCCACTTGTTTCTTCAGGCCGAAGGGGACCTCGACCTGGAAGAGCGGGAGTGGAGCACGGTTTTCGCTACTGCTCAGACGGGGTGAGAACAAACGACTCGTATGTATATGCGTTGCGTAAATCGTTCGACATCGTGGTTTGACCGCAGCGACGGCAACCACGAAAGCTCGTGAACCTCATTGACACAACCAGCTCTCCAAACACCTTTTACATTTCATTTGGGAGGTTCGCTGTACCGACGTTGACCGGGTCTTCCGTGCTTCGTACTGACAATCCAGGGCCAACCTTGTGATCCCAAGAGGGTTGCTCACCGGTGGATCTACCTATACCTTTCGCCTGTCAGCAACGGACGTGGCTTCCCAAGCAACAGGTGGGCGTGACAATGGTCCTACTGTCCGGGGAATAGATTGATACGCCTGCCGAAGACTCGCTCGTGTGTATTGCCACTCGCATCGCTCAAAATGGTTTAGGCTGCGCTGTTTCTGCTGGATCTTGGAAAAGTCGCTTGACTATTTCGATTTGCGATGCGTACCCGTGGGCTTTAACTGATGTCGTGGTTGAGTGAGTTATTTTCGTGATAAATTGTCCGGTTAGGACCTCAACCCCTCTCCGCCACCAAACCAGAAGCACGATACCCGATTCCGCACGTCCTGCAACCACCTTCAGGCTTTGCGGATATGACGTTGACAATAAACGCGCCCCCCACTGGGGGCCACGTCGTTGCTTCTCCAAGGGCGGGAGTCGCAGCGATCGATACGTTTGTGCTGGAGAGTCTAGATTGGACGGACGAAGTGGACGACCTCCCACTACTGTTCTCCTTTTCGTACAACAATGAGGTACAATAATGCTCATGCAGCTTCATTTGGTACAGCATAGAGATTGACCATTCGATTATCACACTATGGAGAAGATGGTAAACACAACGACGTTGCTGCGCGATGCCCAACACAGATACCAGATAGCATCTAGGCAGAAAACGCATAGTGGTACCGAGGATGGATGTTCCAGAAGCCCACGACGGAGATGGTCACGAGGGAAATGGTTGCTGAGGCAATGTAGACTTTCATAATGCAGGCATGATGGAAAACGCGGGGGTCGTACGGGATCAGTGTGGCCGAAGGATTTGGGTAGCGTTGTCGAGGTACGAGGTCATGGCACGTGTGCAGTGGAGTATTCCGTGAGAGGCACGGGCGTGGGCACTGATTGTGTATGCCTTTTGTTTCCGGACCTGTGGATAGACACGCTGCGTGCTGGGTCTGATATGCAGTATGTCGATCGCAGCGGAGTCATTTCTTCGTGTCTTCACCACAGGAGGAAAGCGGCCAGCAACGCAGCCTTTCCGTGTTCGCGGTGGAATTGCCGGAGTGGCAAGGGTCGTTGCCTCTCGGCCCATCGTCGGACAACTACACGATGTTGATCAAAGGTGGATACTCTAGGAAGTTCTGTTCGTTTCCCTCCTTACGATTTCTTTTTTTCCTGCCACCGGCGTAAATTGTATTGCATTCGCACGTCATACCCGCGACGGTCATCGTTGTAGACTGGATTGGCGAAACTAGCAACGATACCCTGACAGCGTTTGCCCTTTCTGCGTGGTCTGAATACCCTTTCCCGACGTTCAACGTATTTCACGGTCAGTGCAGACAATGACGCGACTCTCGAACGTCCCTAGGCGTACCCCTCCGAAGCAGGACAACTCCCCTTCTTGCCAGGGCATGTGTGACCTGCCCTTCCGCACGCTAAACAATGTACAGGCCATGTATCTGATAGTTTCGGGGCAACGGCAGTGTCAACAAGCGACGCCATTGGGTCGCCGGTGACTGTTCGGGTTACTGGTTGGACTGCTTCAAACGGTGATGCTGTAAGTGAAATTAAGCATCCGATACGTACAGGACATGAGTTTTACTTTGCGTATTCTAGTCGACGAAACACAGTGTGTAGTACACCTCCTCGTTATTGGGTGCGAAAACTGGTGATGGCTACAACCACGCGGGGGGGCTGCACTATGACGATCATCCAGCAACATTGTGTGGTAGTTGAACGTTAGGAAGTTTTGGTTCAACGGACAATCGGGCTTGATCGCGACGCGCCAGAATGACGAGAGACTTGATGGCGTGTTGTTGTAGGTAAATTCTCTGTGTAAAGGCTCGTCAGAGGCATGCATCATATGATTAATCACACCGACCCATCTGGTGTGCAGACAATCATCGACGCCTACCAGGCTGCACATGACGAGACCGCCGACACCCCAGGAGAAGCAACATCAACTGTCCGGGCGTACGCCTCCTTACTGGTGGACCAATTCGAGGATGCGTCTCCGTACGTCCCAGAGGAAATTGCATTGTACCAGGTGAGCTTGTAGTCGAGATGTTGTCCTCATTTCGGTGGCATTGGTCATGTGTGTCGGCGCCGCATATCGTTTGCCGGTGGTCTGTAGGAGGACTACGCACCACACAGATCTAAGCCGGACTACTCGAGTGTCCTGCCGTGCTACCTTTTCGCCAATCCGAAGGGTTTGATGGCGACCATGGTTCAAGACACAGCGGGTGACTTCGAGGTGTTGGAGTACTCCACAACGACCGCGGGGGCACTACTAGATGCGATGGTGCTGGTGTCAGGGAGCGAAAACCTACGAACATCGGATTCGCAGGTGCGAAATTTTTGTCATCATCTCCCATGGTAGTGAACGCACATGTGGTAGAGCGTCGACTACAATATGCGTTGTTTGCCTGATCGTTTGATTCCAAGGAATCCCTGCCTTCTTACCGCGCTCGTACCGTCATCCGTCAATACATGACCGCATGCCTAGAATCGCGATGACTGACGGCACAACCACTCTACCGCTGATGCTGAACGAGATTGAACTGCGTTGCGGTTCCGCATAATTTCGGAAGGCCGTTGTTGAGATATTTCCCTTTCGTAGCGGATGCTATCGTTGGTTGTGCCCATTTCCAAAAAGACCCATCCAAGACGATCGATTCGCCCCTCTAAGCGCGCTTCATCTCATGTGCAAGCATTTTCATGAAGGTTCAACGGTGCCTGAGAGACGACAAGTTAACCCAGATCAACTGGTGCTCCTCAAGCCTCGTTTTCACTTGTCGTGAACTTCATCAACAGGAGGCGATTCTGTCTTTGTCCGCTGGGGTACTGGAGCGTGCGCTAGAAGAGGAGTCCTGGGATTCGGACTCCTTCAGCCCCACCCTCGAACTACTTGATAACGTCATCGGCGGATACAACGCTTCTTCACCTGGAGTTGTGGGACGAGAGGAGCTCGGTGATGTTGCCGCCGAACTGTAAGTGAAAATCGCATCTCGGCTTCAAAAAGTAGGGTGTAGAAGGGACTTCGGGATATGTCGGTCGTTTCTCCCGAAACGCACCCGATTCACTTCCAGGGACGAGCGTGATCGAGGTTCATGGCACTTGTTTTCGCAGTATTATCCGTTCGATGGAAATGGTTGACAACGGTGTCTCGCACTGATCCGGGCGTTGAAATGGAGAAAACGTTTTCCGCTCAAGCATGCTGCGATGTTGTCCTACCTCGGGCCAATCTTGATTTCGAACACCCAACGACCTGTTGCCTGAGCAGATTGCCGGAAACGGTGAGATCGATGGCGCTACTGATGACATCAAGCCTGGAAGACGGAGAGGACGCGGCACTCATTGGGAACAGTTTCATTGATGTGCTGGGCCTTGTCACCTCGAAGACCGCGGCCATGGACTTCGACGCTGGTGAGACGATGTCTCTCTTGCCCTCATCCGTTGACACCGCCCAATGGCGCTAGGCGAGGGGCGCGTGCTTTGCTATCATCGTCAAGGAACATGGAGCGACACTGAAGGGTTTTTTAACTACCCTCATCCGTGCTAGCACTCAGAGGATCTGCTCACTTTGCTCGACCACATGCCATTCGATCAGGTTCATTATCGGTATCTGTTCCTGAGGGTGCTATAAACCCCACAAGCGTGCAACGGAGAAGAAGACGAATGACGACCTCATCCTCTAGTTCAGCGGGCCGAATAATCAACGGTCGCATTTTGCAACGACGCCGGATGGACTCGATTGCGACGGCGTCAGCCACAATAACGATCGCCAGCCTACAGTTCAGCGCCAATGGCAGACCATCAAGCCAAGTAGATGCTGGGGTATCGAGCATAACAATCACCACCTCAAGTGGAGGCCAGGTATGAAGCTGCAAGTACCAGACAAATACATGGTCTACAAAAGCGCCTGGATAGGTTAAAGTCGGAGCCCGACAGGCTTCATTCTGCTTAGGTACAGAGCAGTCGACGTTTGTTGTCAATCCAAAGCAAGGTGTGCCCGGTCGTTCTCGCGTAGTTCGGGCCCTTTCGATTTTGTTGACGGGGTATTGCCGGAGCGGTATGGTCTGCGAGGAAGTTTCTTGCTTGCAAGGGGGGGAAACCACCCGCTCTGTTTGCTCATCCGGAAATTTCCTCACCCTCCGCCTCGGTCACCAGCATTCCCGAAATCTTGGCCGAAATCTTGGCCGAAACTCTTGACGCCCATCTCGCAGGATATTGCCCTCTCAGCACCAGTTCGAATGACGATGAGGGCTTCAATGGCGACAACGTTGTCCAATAGCCCATCCTGCGTGTACTACAACGAGATTACCGGGCTCTGGGATGAGGATGGGCTAGTAACCGAGGCCGCCATAACGCCAATGGACGAAAGCAACGCGGATGGACTAACGGGTTTGAACGTTACCTGTTGGTCGTTTCACTTGTCGGACTTCACAATATCTGCGGACGAAGTCGGCTCGGGTTTTCAGCATGTGGACTTGGTGAGAGCCCGAACAAGACGTCTCTCGAAATAACCCAGACGCACCAGCATTGCAAGTGCGGAATCATTGAGGTTCGCACATGGGCCCTCAAAGAGAATCCGCTCGGAGAGGAGCAGAGGTGGTGGGAGAAAAGAGACCAAGGCCTTCGTTGACGTGGGTGTAAAATAGTGCAGTTCCATTGACACGCTTCTTGAGCATGCCCGAACATGAAGGCAACACGCGTACGTCGCCGTTTTGCCTGGCGAGCCATGGTTGATCTTCAAGCTGCGATGTCTCAATATCCACCAGAACGCACCTTGTTCGAGTACATGTAGTTAACCCGTCGGTCTGTTTGTTTCCCGTTTTCCGTGAATTAACCTCCAAACGTTACGTGTTTATCACACCATAGACCGCGGGGATAGCCGTCTTTCTAAAGGTGCGGGAAATCTCCAAGATGGGTGGCCTGCTACTGCTTTTTGTCCTGCTGCTGCTAGTGCTCCTCCGCACCACCGCAAGAATGGCGGATGTCAAGACTAACCTCAGCAAGCAGTTGGCAAGGAAGACCGACGAGGTCTACGTAGCCACCGGGAAGGTATGGGGGTGATTGCTTGTACAATAGCATTTGTGCGTGGTTGCGGGTGAGCTGATGCGGAGAGTGGTACATGCGTGGCGGATGGCGTGATCTCTTGCTCCTGTTGCTACATGATGCCCCCGGAATTGATCTTCCACGTGACGAACACTCTTCCCCGCATCCGGCCGAAATGTGACTCTTGAATGAACCCCTCGGTAGTCTCGGAATCGCCCTACCTTGGCAGCGTTGGTCCAAGCGGACCCGACACCTGACACGCACCACCGCCACGCGAGAAGGCGGTTGCAAAGACGCGCCAAGACGGCGGTTCGGCAGTATATGATGAAAAGGTGAGGGGGGTCGAAAAATCACCACCAGCGCAAGGAAGACGGTGTTCTTCAAAGGGCAGGCCCACTCATGACACCATATTTGGCAAAGATCAGCAAGACCGAACACGACAGCCGATTTCTTAGCCTTTGTGCTCTATTTGCGAAGAGAACAGACAAAGCAGGTGTGTAGAAGTGTGTTTCTTGGTTCGGGGTCGGTGTGGTATCCATGCCGAAACACCGACCCCAATTCGGGGCCAGCCATCTATATTATCAACAGACATGAGGCAAGGGCACAATTTCGCCATTCAGAGTCTTCACCAACGCGGTCCGCGCGACGGTAGTCTGAGGCTTCCAACTTTTTCCCTGCTGAACCACAGATGTCGAAGCTTAGCGCGCCGTATTCGAAGCTTCTTTCGCTTGGTCCTTCGCCACCACCCCTGGTTTGGCATTGTGGCGCCGTCCTCTTCGGACCTAACCCTCACCCGTGAACAGGTGCGGGAACAGAGGTGGTTGCGTGTTCGTGCCCTGCACTTCCATCCATGTAGACGTCATGCCCTTACCCCGTTCAGCTGATGTCTATTTTTCTGGAGGCTCCGATATTCGAGTGCCATAGCGACGTCGCTTTGTCGGACCTGGCTACCTCGCTTCCGCGGCAGGTTGTAACGAGCATAGGTGCCGTGGGCAAATCGTGAGGAATCGTCTCGTATGCACATGTTAATAGGCACTTCTGTGGGTTGTGTCCAGTGGAAGAACATGGCATTGCGGGTACAAAAATAGCCCGAGGTTGTAGTCCGTCCCAAGGTTGTAGTCCGTCCCACAAGGATCAGGACACCGACGTTTGCACTTCATACCCGAAGACTCCACTTTCGTTGTCGTTGGTCGTGCTCTTGCCCCGCCGTTCTTGTGTGGCAGCTGTCCCTGTTGATTTTTGCGCAGATACTCGTCCATATGCTGGTAGAGGCGAGTTTTGTCGCAAACTCGACGAGCTACAAAATACGAGCGCTTCATGTTGTTGTCAGGTGGGTCGTACGGGGGCTAGATAAGCCTCGAATGTACTCTCTCTCTCTCCTATCACAGCGCCTCCAGACGTGTTGGGATGTCCATGGCGGATTTGTGCCCGTCTCTGTGCGCTGACCCACCACACGTACGGCAACGCTGTAGCTGCTAAGGATGGCCAAACATTGCTTGCAGCTGGAGGCTTCGATGCCGATACCGACTCTTTCGGCCGTGCCGACCGTTCACCCTGACGTTGTTTGCCTTGCAGCTTGGCTGTTTCGATGCCGGCTTCCATCCTAATTCCCAAGCTGTTCGCGACTGCAGCTGCCCCCCCCCCGTCGGTCACGGTGACAATGCTCCATGCGTGGGAAAAGGTGAGGAAACGTCCGTTGGTTCAGACAACACGCTAGGATGAAATTTGTTCAAGCCGTTTAAACAGTGTTAAATAGACCGAAGGAATGCATCAACGCTTCACCTAGAAGACGGTGTAAACCCACGGTTATATCGGTGTTCCAGCCGCTTTTCCAGCCGCTTTTCCACCGAATGCAAGGCGGTTCAGATGTTTGTACCGGGCACAAGAGCTGGTTGGACAGCAGTTCATCCTATCACGCATTCTCGTGTCATAAACAACCGGTGTACATCGTGGTGCGCATTAGTTTCAAGAAGTGTACCCATCCGAGGAAAGGACAAACAACGCCCTGGTTTGTCGTGTTCGCCCAAACGTCAATCTCTGCAGATTGTCCCATCCACGAACCAAGAAGTTCTAACAGCCCAAGACATGACCAATTCCAAGGCCAACTCCCAAACGAGGTATGCCTTCATCTGTGGTGGTGCTTGGTGGAAACCGCCAGTCGTGTGGGAAGCCAGGCCCTGTCGTGCTCTGTCTCATGGTGGTGGCGTTGCCCACTTCCCAGTACCCATTGCACCTCACGTAAGGTGCCTTCTGTTTTGCTCTTTCTTCCAATGGTCCAACGGTGCGTACTCCACCAAGGCTAAAGTTATTGGAGGAAGATTTTGAATGTAAAAGACACAAGACAAGGCTTGATGAGACAACAAAACAACATCGCGTTCAGCACCAACTCCACTGCGCCCTCTTACGGGCAGGTGGCTGCGGGAGCCGAACACGGTGATGGCAGTTTTTCGTCTGATTTCCTCGGCGGTGTTGAGGAGCACATTGCGAGTGCCGCCGTCATTCCGAGGGGGTCGACGGTACTCCACGGGTGGGGCTGTTGATCGTGGAACGTGAGTACGACGGCAGTCAAGCCCTGGCAGGAGGTCTGGTCGTAGAAGAAGACGAATAGGGTGACACGACCTGCACATTTAAACACCAAACAGGCAGAGGCTGCTTGCCGGACCTCAGCAGAATACTGTACCTTTTCACCAACATGGCTACAACAAACCCAAATTAGTAGCATTCCGAGTGATGACGTACGGAATGAATACGCCTGGAGGCCCTTCCAGCGCGAGTTTGCTATTGTGATCTCGGTTCGGATGATGCACCAAACATTTGGCGAGACTTCCGGCTGGAGCCCACCGTGATGATTCTCTGCGAGATACACCCAATGGCAGCGTAGTTGAGCAGTTCCGGTCGGACGAGCGCGGGATAGTTTGGAAACGCCTGCGGCAATATTGGGAGGGTTGGATAGTCCACCGTGTGTTGTATGTAGCTTGCGGTGATGCCACGCCACCCACAACGAAACAAGACGCGAAGATGTAAAGATGTTGCTCGCAGTTTGGGTCAGCTCTACGCCGCGGGTGCCTGCTTACGTGTTCACCTGGGGACTATTCAGAAGCCAGGAACCGCAGGGTCCAACCAACCGTGGCCGGACCTTTCCTACCAGTCTTGACTAATAGGCCATTCTCGATCTTACACCTTCTCTTCCTCCCGCGGATTTTTCTCCAAGGAACCTGGTGTGGTCCGGCCTCTGGCAAATGTTGCTCGATTTGGTGTGCGTCGCGCTATCGGCAACGATTGGAATCGAAGACCAGCTGGAGAAAGCTCTAATCTCCACTACCGTGGCGGGCCTGCTTCTGGGGCTCCTCTTCCTTGGTGAGCAATCCAGCTTTTTTCAGGGCGCGTTCGACGTTCAGACAGACATGAGGGAATATGGCAATTTGCAGCGGTGGTAGAATATCGTACGTGATGCATTTTTTGTGGTGTGGTTGTTCCTCTGGCCCATCGTAAATGTTGAAGTGTTGTTGGCAAGAAGTTGCAACCTCTCACTTCTTTTTTGAACTTTTGAACGCCCTCCTCGAGATGTTGTGTCTCGAGCAGTGTATCGCTTTTTTGTTCCTTTCGAAGTCCAACCACATGAGCCACTCTCCTATTCTATGGTAGCCCTTCAGGGACCCCGATCTGGGGAAATGTTCCTTGAAGAAAATACGGATAATTCTCACAATGGTGGGAATGCCGTCTTTCGATTACCCCCCGCTTGGAAAAATAGAGTACTTCAATGGGTCATGTCATCTCAATCAGGGTTCACTCTCCGTTCCCTCATCGATGAGTAGTTGAATCGTAAAACGTTGTGGTACCACCTACAGCTGACATCCGCACGCATACACCCACGTATTCCGGCGACATTTACAGATGCTGTTCTCTCCACAAGGGCGTCGTCGTTCAGCATATTGAACTTTAATGTGCTCTTCTCGATCGTGTTCGCGAGGATAGTGGTGACCGCGTTGCAGGTCGTCCTGGCATTCCACGGGGTGCGAAACGCGGCATCGTCCACTGCGTTGTACGGAACGTTGTTCGCCCTCTCCGTCGTCAAGATATTTGGAAGCCACAAGGTAAAATAGGCCCTTGCTCGAGGACACGTTGCATGTTGAATCGCATTCGGAACATTAGGTCTTCCGCTGAACTCGTTCGTGTCTAATTGTTGAAATCTACGCAGCACACGCCCGGACATTGGTTCCTTCAATAGTTCCTCCATCCTGTGACTTTTCCCTCGCTTGAACACCAGTATGAGAGCTAGCTCGAATCTCGCGAATGTCGGGGCCCACAGGGGCAGCTGAGTAGAATGCCTGCCACACCGTTGGTATGGATTTCCGGCCTGTGCCTTCATACATCCGTAGGCTGTATGGACAGCCATTTATTCATCGCTGTGCGAATCAAATCTTGTTTCCCCCCCTTCTCTGCCCCTGTGGCGCCGGTCGCTGTGTATTCTGTCCTTTGGCTGCTCCTGCCTCTCCTGCAGAATGAACTGATGCCCTGTATGGACGCGGTGAATCAAAGATACATGTCCCAGGTACGCCATCGAGTCGGGGTCTGTAGGAGCCGCATCTGGCACGTGGCCATATGATTCCCCGCTATCGATCTGTTCTTTACGCCGTGTATGGTCCTCCCATCTACGGCAGGTTTGTTGAAGTCGTCGACCGAAAAAAACATGTCTGTTGAGCTCATTCGAATTATCATGACGTTCAGATTGGGGTACGCAGGAACGTATTGCCCACATGATACGGGGACCCAGAATGAGGCAAGGAGTTGGGTTCTATCACACTGTTGAACATGTGTTAACGTAGAGCGTCTTAGCGTGCCAGAAACATCGTAGCCCACAGAGAGAAGAAGCACACAAAAGGATTCTAATGGTTTACCAGCGTCAGGAGCTGCGAATTGTTTGTGTCGTTTCCCACCCACCCAATCTTCTTTCGTTCTATACTATGCTTCCTTGTGGTTCTATGCACAGACGAACAAGATACAAGGATTTCAACCAACACCGTAAACGTAGCGGACGAGGCGTGGACCAATCCCAGATAGGACCACAAGCCTCGATTGGGCAATCGTGGACCCCCGACCCCCATGAAATCTCATTTTGACGGTTCAGACATTGATGTTGGGATTCAGAGCAGTCGGCGAAATACTGGTGATGCCTAGGCCTTGAAACAACTCGCTTATCAAAAGCCTGAGAGGGTCAGTCCAAACCCCTCTAGAGCAGCGTGTGCGCACCGTCGGGTGCACTTCAAGCTCAGCCCGAGAAATGCGGTTGTCGGCAGTACAGCGGGGGTGCAGGCAGCGCACGAAGTATTGTGCGATAATGTTTTCTTTTGCGGCACGGTTCCGCCAATACCGAAGTCATGGAGTCTGTGGCATGTGCACCGCCATCGTGGCCGATCGGTTTTGATTCGAGCTTCCTTGAAGCTCCTCTGCTTCCCTCCCTCCACTTATACTGGTTGCGTGCTCGCCGTTCTTCAATGTTTGGATTTTGTGCCCCAGATATCGATGGCCAAAATGTACCGACCGCCGCCCAAGGTGGACCACAGCCACCAGCACGTCAGCTCCTCGACCATCGACCTTTGCATTTTGCGCAACACGGCTGCGGTAAAGATTCAGACCCTGGTGCGAATGTACCAAGCCCATCAGAGGTATGAATAAAGCTATATGCACGTCGAGTGCATCAAAGAGAACTGAGATTCCGTCATCCACGGGAAGATTTTGATTTTCATCACATAAACGTCTTGTTGCTGTCGTCAGAATTCCGGTGTGGCCCCGACAACAACACCCGTATGTTTACAGTATTGGCATGGGTAGTACTGCTCGTGGAATTGGGCAGGTCGATCAGGGAGTGCAGAACACCACGACGAATGAGTATGAATGATAAAATTGTCACCCTTCCTTCCGGGTACTAATGATGAATGCATGTGCTCGCCGTCACTGACGTGTGCTGATTCACCAACAACTGCTGGGGCTGCCGCCGCGAAGGGCTGTTCGGCGCCAAGAAGTGGTCGTATGGCAGTGTCCTCGCGTCAAAAGCATGCGAAGGCGACTGACGTTTCGGGCCTACACATGCCTCATCGTTTTCACCGCGTCGGTTGCATGGATCAACCTCTGCTACGTGGTCATGTACGATGGTCCTGCTATACGGTGCGGGGACTGCCACAATTTCCAATAGTGGTAACGTGTTTGTGTAGTGCCGCTCGCAGGCCTGACGCGCACGAGAAGTCGAAAAGCTCCTCAGGCTCCCTCTACGCGCCCGCCATTTTTTTAAGTCGGAACTGTCTTCGGCTCTGAACTTTCCGAGCGGACGCTCGACGGGTCGTTCTCACTGTCGTCAGCAGCCTTGCTCGGTTTTCTCCGAGCACAATGCTTCACTCTTGTTTGACAACAACGAGTTTGTTTGCCACATCTCTCTCTTGCCCAAAATGTTCCGGAATTTGGTTCATTTCCAGGTTCGCGCCACATGTTTTTTTTTCAAGTAGGCACTGAGTGGACTGTGTCAGCTGCGAGAGTAGCGAGGAGGGGTCTGGATGACTAAACGCACTTCCCCCTACACTTCGCCAAGGTTTCATCTCTTATCGACAAGGCACCATTGCCACAATCTATTGCCTCCTCCTGCGCTCGATTCTCCGTGCAGGAACTGGATTGCAGCGACCGGAATTACTGTTTTGGTCGACATTGTGCTCAGGAAGCCCCTGTCAGTGCTGGTGGTGGCCACAGTCAATACCATTCGTGATAGTGCTCGTGTCCCGGGAACGGTGTATATTGGCAAGGGCCGATCTCAGAGACCGATTGGGAAGTTTTAGCTCATGCAATTAGTTGGTGATTGATTTCAATGCCTTCTTTCCTCTTCAAGACTACTGTGCACATGCATGTAGGGTGTTGGGGGGCGGAGGATACACGCATAGTGGTACGAAAACCGGCAGTAGTAGAAACCATTTTTGCAAATAAGCATAGTCTACAATCACGGACGCGCTACGAATGTATTATATCACTAGGGGCTCGTCGGGGCGTGCTACAACTGAACACAAAGTTCTGTAAGGAGAGTATGATTGGGGGATGACTGGGGATGTTTTTTCGTCGAGCCCTTGTCGTCCAGTCCGTTGGAGGACGATACAATGTATGCCGGTAAAAAGCATGCTCTCGGTATCAATGTTCTCGGTATCAAGAGTGTTGAGAAACCAATCCAGTGAGGGTGAAAAACCGGGTACGCAATACATTCCGGATACCCCAATATAAACAGTATGGCAGTTCGAACTGTTTCAATAAACCTCGGTTTGCTTTGTCTACACCTTCGCCTACGCCTTAAACCAAACTGTCCTTGTTTCAATATTGTGTTTCAGTTTGTGCGGCATTTAGGATTTCTCCATGCGTCTCCCTCCTTCTACCTCAGCGAAGAGTTTTGTTAGCGACGTTGTTGGGGTTTGCAAGTACTTATCTTGTCGTTCCAGTTTTGATATTTTGCTCCCTCCACATATAACAAATTTCGTCACTTGATCGATACGGTCGCTAGAGGTTTCACCGCTCCACGAAAACAAACAAATGTATCCGTATTTCTGTCTGTTTGTCAGTCAGCCCTGATCACTTTCAGTCGGAAGTTTCGAATCGAGCAGATTTTCTCCCCAACTCCAGAGTCGCTAGAACGCTATCATCGATAATCCTGTACCTCTCTACACGCAATCACCACATTTGGCTGATTGGTGCCTCTTGCATTATCATGTGCCTGTGTCCGTGTTCGCCTTCTCGATCATAAACGTTTCTTGTCTGCTCATCAAGTTGAAGCTCCGCCCAATCTGGAACAGGTCAACATCCTCTCCGAGGCCGGGACGGTTACCACGCAATTGAAGCTTTCAAGTGACGCAGGACGACGGCGTTCGGTTAATCAGTGTTGTCCCTGTCGGGGATGAAACCCGTATTCACTTTCACGAAGTAGTATAAACAATGTAAATATGCCTGATGAGGTCACGACGTAAAAATTGTAGTCAATGATGCCGGCAATGTTTGTTTGTCATGCACATTACGTCGTCGACCACAAAGCTCGCAAAGAACGCAACTGGACGTCCATTTCATTGTTCGGATTCAGGACCATTGGACACAGGGGGTGCGCAATACGACGAGAACGAACGACTTGATATTGTTCTTCCGTCCCGAGACGTAGTTTGTCCGATTAGGGACGTCGAGATAGAACCTGGTCGTTCTCACCGAAATGAAACAACTCCAACCCCGGCTGGTGTGTCCAGAAAGTTGTACCAAAAGGTGTCAAGACCCACATGCATCAGTCTCCCACACTACTGACAGTTTCGCTAAACCGCCCATGGGACACCATGGGTCACCAATGGGCCACACATGGACCGCCTATGGGCACTGGTTGGGCCGCCCATGGGCGAATACCCATGGGTGGCCCATGAAGTGCCCACCGTGGGCACATCAACCTAGAACTTAGCCACCAACGCCAACCTAGCACGCATCGTGTTGGCTTGCGGTTAGAGTTAGGGTTTGCATTAGGACTGTTAGCCGCCCCGGTGGTCTAGTGGTATCCTCGAACACCGCTGCCGCAAAGGTCGTGTGTTCATATCCCCATATGGGGTAAAAAGATTACACTATTTCCGGCTGAAAGCGAGATATAGCTGAAAAAGCTCTCGTGAGAACCAAACTTCGACGTTAGCACCTTCGACGAGGGAAAGAGCCTTCTCGCGACAAAAATGAAGTTCAGCAGGCACCGCAAGAGGAAGGTGGGGCACGAAAATGAATGAAACGAAGAAAAACAAGCCCCCGTCCTGTGTGACCCTGGATGGTTGTAGTTGAACGAAAAACACACTGAAAGTGTCGTACTCTCAATACACTCAATAGTGTAGTACACATCTCATAACGAAAAAGAAGTGGGGGGACTGTCGCCATAATAAATAGGACGAAAACACACTGCCCGTTCCAATCAATGCAGATAAACTGTTGTTTAGGAGTACACTGACTGGTGGTTCGGTTAAAATGCTCTCACTGGCCGCCCATGGGCTTCCCATGGGTATTTTCTACGGCCCCTTACTGTATCCATCCGGATAGTGGGCCCTTCCCAGTTGGTACACCGTTGATGCTATGTGAAGGGTCTCAGCGAAAAACAAATCCGGACACATAGCCCCCCCGCCCCCCTCCCGGAGGGGGGAGAATTCGACAAATTACCACGAATCGTCAAAAAGTTACCATGAGGTTAAACGGATTGCAAACATGTTTCGCTCTCGTTGCCCCTTCCGCATCTGCTCGTCAGAAGCCGGCCCACGCTCACCCAGCCGTGCTACGGGAACATACGTACGGTGGTAGCGCCTTGCAGCGCCATAGCTACAAGAATCCCAACATCGACCAAAGCTCGACATGAGCGAAGCAGCTCGCCGCTAACCACCATCCAACACAACCACCTGCCTTGCAACTTGCCGTTGCCGCTTCTAGCAGTGCACAACAGGGAACATTGTCTCGCAATCTACTCGTAGCCTTTGTCTTTAGGGTTAAGTTTGACTTCATCAATCTACCCCGCTTACTCATGCGGACCCCTGCTTGAGAGTTCTCGCCCGGTGTCTCGCTACGTTCTCTGCGAGAGAGAGCTTATGGGTTAGGGTTAGGGTTAGAGAGCCGGACGCCAAAGCGCCGACGCCTCCGCGGAAACCCGGGGATACATGGGTGCATGCCCCCCCCCCCCCCCACGGACCCCGATTTTCGATTAGTAAGCCTATGTGTGTGTTGTAATGTTTTTCGCGCATACCCTTGGCTGTGTGAAGATTTCTCAAGTACGAATGAATCCGGTGGCTCTGCCGACAGTAGGTACCAACCGTGGGCGGAAAGGGATGATGGCAGGAAACCGGTGGCCGATAGCTGCTATGGTTGACCGGTGCATGTTTGCCTGAGGTATTCTGCACACTATTATATACTCGACGTATTTTACTTCGAAGTACAACACAATAGTCTAGGTGACTTCAGAGCCTTGCTCCATGGTGATCTCTAAGATGACTGAGACATGAGTACATATACATATGTACGTATGTACAATAATAGTACGCAGGTGAGCTAAGGGCGCGTTCATGATATATCTATCCTTCTCGAGTGCGCGGCAACACGATTACAACACGACGCCTACACATGCCGTTGTTTTCTCCCCTGGATTCCCTCTGGCAGAAGCTGGATGACATCTGTCGGAATCACGGTGCTGGTCGATATTTTGCTCAGGAAACCTCTGTCAGTGTTGGCGGTGGCTACTTTTTACTTCATTCGCGACGCTGTTAGTGTCCCGGCATCGGGCTACGTTATAGCAACAGTCGCCCTCAGAGACCGACTTGAAGGTCTTCACAAACGCATGAGGCGGAAATCTCCCTACTCCTTCAAGTCCTACAGTGATGCAAATCGATTCTTGCTCACGTCCGATCTCTTCCTTCTTTGTTTCTCTGCAACCGGGTGAGGGCCTACGTCAACGAGGCACTTGGGAAAACAAGATTCACCTAACTATCCATGCGGATAGAAAACTAAATAATTCGCTCTCTTTCGGAACGGAGGACGGATGCAATGTGTAATCCTAACGATGTATACTATTCAGGGAATGTAGCGTTGGGGCCGGGGGGGGATGAATGCAATCTCACGACGGTAAGATCACCGACGAGAAGTACTTAGATATTCGGTTCGGCAACTTCGTGTTCTACAACAGACCACCAGCCTACGTAGGCACTTAAAATATCTGGATGTTTCTACGTGTAGAAAAAATCGATTTCGGGGAATAACTGGGGTAACGTGGTTAGCCGCAGGCTGTTTCGTCTTATACGCGGGAGCACAGCGAAAAGACGTTGGTTCGAATGAGTGTAATGTACGCGTTCCAAGGACGGGTGGGAAATGTCTGTTCCGGGGAGTTGGGCTATACCTTGCGGAGGAGCAAACACCGCGGAAGGACGGGGGGCTCAACCTCCAACCTCGGACCGAGTAGGTCAATATCATTGTAGCTGAGGTTCATGGTTGAGATAGTGAATGCTGGGCGAGAAGCACCGTAATTCCACTGTCTCGTGCTTAAAGCGTTCTGTGTGGCTTGTCACGCGCAAGGCGTTCCCGACTGGTCTTTGTGGCAAGTCGTTGGCGGTTTCCACTCAAGCCGTTTTGACATGTACTCGGTGGATGAATGTATATTGGTGGAGCCATCGCCGTGTTTG